TCAGCCACGCTAATCACTATACCGATTGAGCGGCGCCTTTGCGTCTTAATACAGGAAGCGTATTACATACAATGATGTCTAATTTGACCAATTCTTTGCCGACTTGGATATGGCAAAGTACACAAAGACCAAGGGAAAGTATGCCTTGGTTGAAACACTAAGAGAATCTCTCATATTTGCATTACACATTGGGGAAACTCAGAATACACTCATGCAACCAGTCCTTTTCGCCGAGATTCGAATCCGGAACAAACTATCAGTATTTATAATTACTTGACTGCTATTGGCCGTTTTGTTCAATAAAATATTAAGAGTTATCAATTCTTCAATTTCACTATAAAAACTAGCATTTCGCGCGCACCAACATAATATTTGACAGCCAGTTTGAAAAAAAAAAAAAAAAAAAAAAAACACCACTTTAATTATTGTTATGTTGGTTACTTAGTAATTTGAAAGTTTTTTTAATTTGCCGAACAGGGATAAAATTCAGAAACAATTATTATCAGAACGTGTCAATAGAGAAATTACACATAGATCCGAACTATATTAACAGTGTTGTTACCTAGATTACAGGTATTATCAATAGGATAAATCCACGAATTCTATTTATTCAAAGGTAAACAAGCTGAATTTCTACATATTCAGTTAAAACAAATTCCCAAGATATCCATCTCGCAATCCTAGAATGCAATAATAGGCTGTCAAATATACTCTGCAGAATCGTTCCCGATAAGACGATTATCAGCAGACACGAAGAATATAAATATTTTGTTTTCATGCACAATCTAATTGATGGTCTGAGTTGAATATGGATTTCCGACAGAAAAGAAAATGATACAATGTCTGATAATTCCGAAACTCGGCGAGCGCTATAGACACGTATAATGCTAGTGATGGAATAATACTTATTCGTGAAGACATTTGATAGAACGTTTTACACGCCCACGAAAGCCAGATGACATTGATGTTTGCAAAAGTCTGCTGCCATGGCTTGCTTTTAAGAGCACATATACCCGAGTAATTTTTCTTATACAAGATAATTATAGCTATCACGAATCCATCATTTCCGAAATGAAGTCAGCGTTGACTACCTGTTCGTAAGACATTTTATTAAATAATGGCTAAGCATTCCGTTTCTCGTCAATATTTCCGCTAAAAATTATTTCCTTTACTAATATATAATATGTATACCTTTACTTGTATGACTTTACTAAGCCTTTCAAGATAACCACGTGATAAGGTCCCTGTAATTTGGCTAACTGAAACATTTTTGTTTCCATTTATAATCATCTGACATAATAGAACACAGTAGGATTTTGACTACCAATCTGAATGGGAAAAGGCTAGATCCAGACAGTAGGGTTACTGAATTATGATGAAGCATATTAAACTATATATATAAGTGTAAGAACGCCTTCGTGGCTATGGCTTTTAAAAAGAAACTAGGTCGTATTTACATTGCATTTGGAGAATACAAAAACTTCCATGTAGTCAGCCTATTGTCCTAGACTTTAATCCGGACTGGACTAGCAGAGTTTAGGGGTGTTTTCGTTGGGCCCGTTTGGTTTAACAGATTTTGTTTTTGCATATTATTGATTATCATATTTAAATAAAGCTTTTTTTATTTTCGATCTTCTATTTTCCAATATTCATTTATTTCAAGTAAAATTAATTTTCGGACGTTACTTCGTAATTACCTATTAATTTAGTTACCTATTAATTTAGGACGTTACCTATTAACTTCGTTAACTAAATTTCCAGAAAAGAAGAGGAAAATAATGCAGTGTGAACAAATGCCTTTTTTTTTTTTACATGAGTGCTGATTGCTCCACTCAATAATGAACTTTTATTTCCCCACCTTTTAAAACAAAGGGAAGGCTAACTGCTTACTCCTCTTAATTGATGTTACAATATATACAATATATACAATATATATATATATATATATATACAGACACATCTAGGCCCGCCGAAGAAATTGGAATGACCAAAAAACATTTTTGGAGAGAAAGAAAGTGACGAAAGGGAGGTAGGTAAGTTCGTTAATTATTGTAAAGCATGCAAGAGTTATTTGTTTAAGGAGTTTGAAAAGCTCTCGAGAACGACTTTCTAAGACTAACTAGATTGTATACGTGGTTACTCATAGGAAAGCCGCCCACTAGCGGTCGAGCGGAAAAGTCGCTGAACACTGGTAGTTCCGATCTGAGTTCGATTAAGGCAAATAGGTTGGCTGCATGGATGTTTTCGTGGTTTTCCGCCATGTGTGACGCGAGCCATTTTTCCCCAGAAAGTTCTCCAAGAAGATATCCCTCTACTTAAGCAGATAGCCCTAGTGTGCTTTGCTATAATCTCAATAAACCAAACCATCAGGAATGCCTTATGTAGTTATTAAATTCGCTGGGTTAGAATATTTAGATTATGACAAAGAATGCTAGGGCTCTGGGCCAAAGCGATGCCTTCGTGGAGAATATTTTTAAGAAACTTTGCTCTACGTAATATATGTAGAAAAGCCTGAAAATATCCACATAGCCAGGCCTTTTGCCGGGATTTGAACTCTCATCAAATTACTAGATTTTAGCGTTTTTATCTCTCTACTAGTGTTCGGTAGTTCTAGACTACTGGTGTTCGGTGCTTTTAGCTATATCGTCACTGACTGGCACAAGATGCAGTATAGTATAATTAAATGCAGGAAATGTGGCTTGAAGAATGCTTATATTATTAGAATGTTAAATTACTAAGCGAAGAGCAATCGGAAGATTTTGAAACACTTTTTCCCAACCATATGCATATTTTCCAAACTAACCATAAATTTTTGCCGACATTTATTGCAAGAAACTAATCTTGCGTAATGCAATAATCAGACGGGTAGCCACCGCAGCAGAAGTTGCGCTGATGCGCCAATAAAGAGCAATCCTGTTGTTTGCAAGCAGTTATCTTTCGGATTTTTTTTTTTTTTTTTGCCTTGTTGTTTGCTGATTTTGGAGGCCATTTTTTAGTTCTACAAAAATGCGTCTTTGGGATTTTGGGATACCCAAAAAAACGAAAATGTACCAATTCGCATGATATGAAACTATTTTGGAAATGTAATTTAAGACAGTGTGATCAGCAAGTGGGACTTGGAAAAGACAACTGGTTTGAAGTAAGCGGAATTTCATTTTGTTCAGTTTTGAGATTTATATACTGCTGGTGCGAGGAGTTGACGTCGATTAAATTTTGTGAAAAGAAACTTTAATTATCGTATAAAACTGCTATAGATTAGAACAATTACATGCTTGGATTATGTGTCCTGCATATGGAGAATAAACCAAACAAGAAGGTAGGTGGACCAGATTGCATTGAGGAAATTGATGAAAGTTTGTTTACTATGCGTAAAAATAATTGTGGTCGAGTATTACCCGAACAGTGGGTGTTTGGTAGCATATGTAGAGAAACAAAAGATTCGTTTGTTGTTCCTAATAGAACTAGCTCTACCCTTCTTAACAAAATTATTGAAAACATTGCAGATGTTAGCATAATTTATTCTGACAGTTGGAAAGGCTACCAAACAAATAGAATAGAAAAAGAAGGATTCCTGCTTGCTAAAGTTAATCATAAATACAATTTTATTAATCCTGATGCAGGAGTTCATACAGGAACAGTCGAGAGAATATGGGGCAGTGCTAAATGGAGAATACGAGACATAGGGGGACAGCGAGACATCATTTAGAATCTTGTTTAGCAGAGTTCATATGGCGACAGCATCAGGTCAAAGAAAATAGAGAGTGTTTTGAATCTATGTTAAACTCTATATCGCCCATTTTCCTCTGAAATCCGATTGACTACTTTAAATAAAGTGTTTGGTTGATTTTTGAAAGTGTTTTGATTTTAAAGTATTTTAATTTATGATTTGCGGCAAAAATTTTAGGTGTAGATTGGCGGCACTTAGAAACCGCCAAATCTGCAGCTGCGGTGGAGTTAATACGCAAGTACCATCAGATGTTTACTGTACGATTACGAAATCATTTCAAAATTCCCAGTAAAACTTTTATTAGAACGAAGGACCATTTTGGAACTATCACTTTAAACTAGATATGTGTAAATTTTTTCTTCCGAGCTTTTTCGTTTTATATTTAAATTCTGTATGGAGGTCCAAAAATTGTTTGCTAAGCCCATTCTTTACACAGATGTGCATTATGTCTATATTTCACTTCAGATTGCAGATATTAGTTGATATATTGCTTAAATTGCCGGTAAGTTCCCTCCCCTTTTTTCAATCTTACTTAATAAACATCAGACCGTAATGCGTGAATGGCTTGTTAAAGGTCTCCAAAAGCAATTTTCTAGCCAATTTTTGACTCCAAAAAAATGGATGCTCGCGCATATTTTGCATCAATATCGTAAAATTCAAAAAATTATATGCTCTTAGAAAAGTGGATAAGCATATCTGCGAAAACAAGTCTCCTTCCAGTCCCGGTTTCTGGTCATATGGAAACATCTTGGAAGACATTATTAAACAGCATTCTTTGCAGTAAACAGCTTAAAACCGCTGTTTGGGAGTCGTTAGAAAAGAATCACAAAATCTACGGCTTCAGAGACCTGCATTATTTTATCAGAGACAGTATAGAGGTTCGCAATGACTTAACGAATTGATTTTTAGCCCAAGTTATCAACCTTCTTCAGTCATCTGATGTGATAAATAGAAATGCCATTTACACAAAACGTAGGCGTAAAGTTATTTTTAGATTCTCCAATACATCACAATTTAAATATTACAGTTCTAAATTAAAACTGTATTGCATTTTAGAAGCTCCTCAACGAAAGTAGCGATTCTGAAGACAACATTTACAAATTCAGACAAGATATTCAGTAGAAAGATGTCTTACAAATTTAAGACATTCTGTGTGTCGAGGAGATACATTATCATTTTAAGTACGGGGAACTTTAAATAGGGAACATAATAAATTCAACTAGAAAATTAAAATGTATGGTTTTCATTTAAAAAGAATGATAAAATTACTTACTGAGACTGCTCTAAATTTGCTATCAGCTCCATCGTTTCCTGATAAAAAAAGAAAAACTTATTGATGATATAAAAATAAAATGAAAATACAATTTTAGAGCAGTTTTTAATTTAACTAGAGGATGAAATAACTTCTATTTTTTAGTGAATTTTAGAGGATTTTATTAGCTACAAGATTTGTTTTTCCGTTAACATCAACAACAAAAGGATATGCTTTGTTTTACTCTCCTAATATCCCGATATTTTGCTCCTTTTTTAGCATCAATAAAGAAATGCACATTTGCAGCCATTCAAGAAATTTATTCAACGTTTTGAAGATAAAAATTAGTATCCAAAGCATTAATTAATAAGTCCTTCATCAATAAGCTCTGTATTCAAATAAAATAACTTGCAGAGTTTCGTTTGCAATTGCTACTACTCATCTCTTCTGGTTATCTTAAAAAAAGAACATGGGTTATTGATATTTCTGCATAACAATGATTACTATTCTATAAGTTCTCAGGTAGTTAGCGAGGGTTTGTCTTTATTACCAAGACGAAAAGAATCCCTATGTGCACGAATCCATTTAAAATTCAGGTAAGCTTCGTTCTCTGAATGCACAGGGGAAGGAGAAAATTACTTGAATATTTTTAAAATTTTCAGAACCTGGGACTAAAATGCTAGTAGGGAAAAATGTGAGGAAATGCTGTATATATGGGGGAAAAAACTCGGGAACACTCATGCAGCCAGCCTGTTAACCGAGATTTGAAAAAAAGACCAGTGGTTGTTTTGACCTAGGTTACAATACTACAAGTTCTCTTATACGACGTTACTAACTCTTAGTCTGCTCATAAGCAACTTCACTTTCTGTGTCTGAGTTTATCCCATATCTGTAAGTAAGTGACGTCAGCGCTGGGAAGAGCCTAACCTTTTTGTTAATTGACCTTGGTTTTAATTACCAGTACTCAATAGTTTTATCTACATGGGTAAGGAATGATTCAGCGGAGGTATACCAGTTCTCTTTGCTTAACCCTTTGGCAGATGTAAGATTAAGCAATCCTTTCTTTCAAAATGCGCACGATATCTGTCAGTCGTAAATCTGTATATGCGTGCTATGCACGTTTGAGCCCACTTCGGTGCGTTACAGGTATGCAAGTTGAGCTTGCTGATGATCATCAAAAGATTAACTGATAGTTTTTATCCTTTCAACTCTTACAGTGTTCATACACTAAATGTTAGTTATTCACGTTCAGGCTATAGAAAGGAATTATTTGAAAACTGCTGCTATTTGCAGACACTTTTAGTAGAGCTATAAGGTAAAACTGTACCTACAACGAATCACGAGTTTTAAAAGTTGAAGATCATCTCAGAAGATAAGAATAACCGATTAGTTGATATTTATTTTAACACAAAAGCGAAATTTCAATAGCCTGCTAGCTGTCAATGATCTGGAAAGGCATTTTCTAGAAGTGGTGAAACAAAGCAATTTCATTTTCAGTTATTAAATGTAATTTTTGTATTCATTCGTGCACATTCGTACGTGCAAGGATAATGATGGGGTACAGACGTTTCAGACAAATAAATGAGTGTTATAAAAGTTATAATGAAATAATTATACGTGTAAAGGAGGCTTTCTGGCCATTCAAACCTACTCCAAATGCTGATTTCCGAATGCTGAAAAGGAGCATTAATATAATGAATATTCACGCGCTAATCATGCAGCTTTATGACAAAACCAGAAGTGGGCTGCAAGGCCCTTATTGAACTATTAATGGCTATCATCAGGGCAAGCAACTTATTTCTGCATTTATTTGCAGAGCAATGAATGAAAGAAAGACAAAACTATGTAGATGAATTAAGGAGCAATAGCTGAAGCAAATGACCTTTTAGCAGCTAAGCAACATATTACCAGAACAATTTTGAATAAGAATGAATATGTAGAGGATTAAGAAGTAATAACAGGAGCTGGAAGAAATGACGTTTAATAGATAAGCAGTACAATATTACCAGAGGAATTTTGAATTAGAAGCTATACAAAGACACATGTACAGTGTGGCCAGAAAGTTCCTTTACACTTGAACTAAATATGTAATCTTAGTATAATTACTAAACCTTAGTATGATTACTATTGCATATTAAATCTTAGTATTTTAAATATATTAGTGTAAGATGGGAATATATTTAAAATTTGAGCCTCCATCATGGTCATTGATATGGCATTAGTGTTACTCATGTGAATTTCAACACTGACTGCCACGTAACGCGACGTGAGAATAAATTCTGTGCAGTTAACAAATTCACCGTCTTTCATTTCGTGGACGGTTCCATAAGCCGTCCGAGTTTGATTACGTGGGCAAAGAAAATTTTTTGCCTGGGAAGTTCGCCATCGGTTTTAGATGCTACCCGCTTTGGGGTGATCATCAAATTATACGTCAGGAAGCAGCGGCAGGTGGACAATGATGATCTGCGGGCAAGTGTGTGTGTGTGAAACCTTCCAGAATGAGACATCGCTGCTACTAAAGCGGATGAGTACGAGGACATTCGTGGTGTGTGGTGGTGTATTTAATTATGGCAAAGCACACTAGGGCTATCTGCCTAAGGGAAGGGATGCCTTCGTGGAGGACTTTCTAAGGGAAACTGGCTCGTATACACGTTACACATGGGGGAAAACCACGAAAACGCCCATGCAGCCAGTCCGTTCGCGGGATTCGAACTTCGGACCGAACTACCGGTGTTCAGAGACTTTACCGCTGGTGGTAACTACCGCTGGTGGGCCGAGGACATTCGTACGTGCAAGGATAATGATGGGGTACAGACGTTTCAGACAAATAAATGAGTGTTATAAAAGTTATAATGAAATAATTATACGTGTAAAGGAGGCTTTCTGGCCATTCAAACCTACTCCAAATGCTGATTTCCGAATGCTGAAAAGGAGCATTAATATAATACACCAAAACTGGAGATACAATTTTAATTCATTTTCATTCCCTTTTTTTTTTTTTTTTTCCTGAAAGATAATGTTCCAGGGGAGAAAATCTTTTTCGAAAGGTTAATCTAACATCCTATTCTAATATCAAAGCGCAACAGACTATAAAATTTAATTACAGTCAAACAAGACCTGTCACAAAAGGTATGACGCGCTTATAAAATAAAAATGTGGGACGATGCTTCACTTAAATCTAAAATGAAATGATGTATAATTTTTAATTTAGATGGGACTGCTTCCTTTTTAAATCCCAAGCCAGAGAAAGACCGCGATGTGTGTGTGTGATTATGGCCAAGACTCGAGGGCTATCTGCCTAAGAGGAGGAATGCCTTCGTGGTGGGCTTTCTAAGGGAAACTGGCTCGTATATATGTTACACATGGGAAAACCACGAAAACGCCCATGCAGCCAGCCCGTTCGCGGGATTCGAACCTCGGATCGAACTACCAGTGTTCAGCGACTTTACCGCTCGGCCGCTGGTGGGCCTGAAAGACCGCGATAGATGATCATAAAAAAGTGCCAAGCACTGCAAATGCTTATAAAAAAGCTGAAATACAACTGTTCCTTTAATATCCAGTCCAGCTAAAGAATTTGCGTCTGATTGCGAATCAGCCACCAAGGGTGGCTTATGTGGGCTTATTGGGCTGTTGCAAATAAAATGGTTGATTTTAAAAAAAGACTGGAAAAAAAAGAGGATAAAATACTAGTTTAATCAAAATAATCAACAGCATCATCAGTGCTTTGTTGCCTACATGTGGCAACGTCATTTACACATTGGTTTTAAAAAACAGTGTCTCTGGAAATAAACTCTCTTGCCTGATAAATGGATGTATCATTGACAAAGTATTTCTTGGACAAAACAGTGTTGTAGTGCTGTGGAAAAATGGTAACTTGTTGAAGAATGTAAAGAATATGGAAGATAAGGCCCCATTTCATATTCCAAATTGTTAAATTGATATATGGTTGACACTGCCATGTCAAACCCAGTGTTAATCTGTAGTAATAGTTCACAGGGATTATATCTGTTCACAGGGGTTAATTGCTAAAAGGGGAACTTGCTATACATTTGCACATATGTGTGCAATACTAAGTTGCATTCATCATTTCATTTCGGGAAAGAAATGAACAGTGAACAACTCCAAAAGAAGCCAGGATACAGGAAAAGTCTTCGAATGCAAATGAGTCTGGGAGTCCTTCCAGAAGAGTCTTTCAGCTATCGATATGAACATGTACGGTTGTTTTAGAATATTCAACCCTCATCCACAGTTACAATTCGTTGGTTAGGTTAATTGATAAAGGCAAAGCAACTCGAGGCTCGTCTGCTTATGGGAAGGGATTCCCTTTATGAAGAACAGTTTGGTCGATATTGGTTCCTATCCATGTTAGACATGGAATACTTCGACTTCCGTACGGCCAGCCTATTTTCCGGGATTTCAACATAGGAAGAACTGCCAGTGTTAAGCAACAAAACCGCTAGGTCTTTGGTGGGCTACATAATTCATTGTTAAGTATGTTTCTTCTTTATTTCCTAAGAGAGAATCACTCTTACAAATGCAGCAGTGTTTCTGAGTCATCCAATTTATCAAGATTCTTTTTACGACTATTTCAGATGCTCCTTCAATAACATGAATATTATTGCTAAGTGCTGTGAAATAGTTGAAAGTGCACACTTACGGTCTTTGCGATCTCTCATGCATGGATCTGATTTGATTAAATTTTTAATTCGAATCAATAGAGTATAATGTTTATTCAATGAAACAAACACTACGACAGCATTACCTATTGGTGTTATCACATAACAAAGAATTTTCAGAAGTCTCAGAGCTTGCCTTTCCGCAGTAAAAAATCTAATGTCATTGAACTGCCATTTCATTCGCAATTCAGTAGTTTAATAGGCTTAAAATTACACTGATCTTTGGTGGCTGAGAATAGACATACGACTGGAACTGTAAAAAAAACTTCGATGCCTTAGAGTAGACATACGACCACAGAGCGCTAAAGATATTTAGCGGAAGCATAATGGAAATACTGTTGAATCTTTGAGGTAGATCTTTGGATTTTCAAGAACGATCAATT